ACCCTGAAAATTACGTGAGCGTCTTCCAAGACGAATGAAAGGCAATGCCCAGGCTCAAGCATGCTTGGACGGTCACCTAAATGGCTTGACTGATAGGGATGTGGATTTGTATATTGAGTCATTACACTATAATGTTAGCTATCTAATTCAGCCTTTTATATGATGTAACCTCAGTACTTAGCTGTTACAAGGATTTCCAAGATTATAATCCTTCCTGGAGCCGAGTCACATGTTTACTAGCAGCGACGGGAACCTTTCCGCTTTTGACTCGTATGTCATTATCATAGAAAGTGATTAATTTAAACAATACCTGCCCCCAGTATGTGAGGGACGGAATGTAAATGCCTTTGTACGAAAATGACTTTTTTTTCCTTAGAAATTTCTTTCCAATATAAGAGTGCGTCTTCCAAGCCGAATCTTATTGTAGACGGAAAATACGATATATTCGAAAAATTTTAAAAACTTTTGAGTTTTCACTGCGCAATTTTTCATGCAGTTTTCTCGGTTAACGAGAATCGAGTTTTGTGCGGCGAAGTTCGAGAAAACTAGAAAAATATTCCATGATGTCCAAATTACAAAACGACACTCGAGACATTTCCAAGTCAATAGTTTTCGGTCAAAATACTTGACATTTGTGATTTTATCATCGCGAGTTCTGAAATATTAGTTAGAATCCTCGCTTATTCAATCGATATCGAGCAGGGTCAGAGCATATCGATGGATCTATAAAATAATCTAAATATAATTCAAGTCTCTTTCTTCACAGATTTTTTTATATCTGTTGATCGACAGATTTAAGTGTTTATATATAATTCAATGTGATCATTATCTAAGTCTGTTCATTATCTATTATATATATATATATATATATATATATATATATATATATATATATATATATATGTTCATTATCTATCTATTTCTGGTCTGTTCATTTATATCTATCTACTATTTAAGTTTGTTCATATCTCTCTCTCTCTCTCTCTCTCTCTCCATCTATCTATCTATCTATCTCTATCTATCTATCTATCTATCTATCTATCTATCTATCTCAGTATGTTCATATCTATTTTTCTATTTCAGCATGTTCATATCAATCTATTATCTATCTATCTATCTATCTATCTATCTATCTATCTATTTCAGTATGTTCATATCTATCTATGTATTTCAGTATGTCCATTATCTATCTATCTATCCATTATCTATCTATCTATCTATCTATCTATCTATCTTTGACTGCCATGTCAATAAGAAAGCAAGTTCAGTTTTTGTGGTCTTTGATCACGATGTCCGGACGATTAGCTTTTATTGTTTTGTCTGTGTATATTGTAAACTCCCATGAAATTATTATAGATCCTATACATGTAACCTGGTAAGGAGGTTATGTTTATACGAGTTTCACTTAACCGACATCACCTGAAGATACACAAAAGGTGAAACCAATGTAGCGGAATCGGCTGATTTCTTAATTTTCTATACTTAAAAGCTTTACATTTAAAATTTTTATGTTTTCATATGTATTGAGCAATTTTCTGACCATATATATATATATATATATATATATATATATATATATATATATATATAACGATTTTTGTATGTTCATGTAAGTTAAACTGATATTAAAGGTGTAGAGAAAGTGATACAAAATAGGCGGAATTTAATAATAGCAAGTTAAAAATAATGTGGACAGTTTTTACTTGACTGTTTTGAGACACAAGATCATTGATTTTTTTTTTTTTGTGGTTGAGTTGGGCGCTGTCGAAAATTAGTTTTTATTTTTTAAGAGGAAAAAAACGAATCTGTGAAGCCATTTCAGATGATCGACAATGGACGAAGAGAATGTACCAATGGAAAAAAACATGGAGATGTTGCATATACCAGCTGCCGGGCAAATATGTGTAGACATAAGCTCCAAATCGACATGGTGCAGCAAATGAATACCATAATACTCCAAATATATTACGCATTTTTTCTAAAAAAATATTAAGCAAAATCGGGGGTGCGTATTATGCACAGTTACAAAAATCTTTGAAAAATTGCCGTAAAATAAAATAAGAATTACCATAAAACTAAATTAGAATATTATTATTCTATGTTTAAAACCATTTTTTTAAAAAATAAGTGTCGGAAACACTTACCATAATGAAATTGGAGGGGTGCAATTTATGGGGTTTGATTACTAAACAAGGGGTGCGTATTATGCATGAGTAGAAGCATTTTACCCACACTTTCAACAAATTTTAGGGGTGCGTATTATGGATGAAAGCGTATTATACATGGGGAATTACAGTAAGCAATAAACTGGTCTATCCCCAAATTACTCCACCATGTCATATAATGGACATGTCTGAATCCACCTGAATCATGAAACTAAATTAGAATAATATTATTCTATGTTTAAAACCATTTTTAAATAAGAGTAGGAAACGCTAGCCGTAATGAAGTTGGACAGGTACAATTTATAGGGATTGATTACTAAACAATAGGTGCGTATTATGCGTGAGTAGAAGCATTTTCCCATACCTTCAGCACAATTTTAGGTGTGCTTATTATTGATGAAGGCGTATTATACATGGGGAATTACAGTAATTGTTTAGATCTTATCGAGTTCGGATTAGGTAAAATGATTGCAGGAGAAGATCTGTCTTTTTTTTTTGTAAAAAGTTTATGCAACAACGTCCTGGGACCGCCACGTCATTTACATTTTGGTGCCGTCCAAAATTTTTTTAGTTATCATAAGAAAAAAAAAATCTTTAGAATTTGTTAACCAAGTAAAATATATAATTCAAAATGTGCATGAAAATATAACATCAATAGACATTTTAGTTAATAATTAAAAAAGAAAGAAGAGTTATCGATAATCGGTTCCCTGATCGGACGTTGAATCACAACGGGGCACATGGCCATCTCCCTTATATGCCACAGTAACGTGTCAATGTCTGGGTCATTGTCATTGTCATTGATATTCAATGCTATTGATAGTCCACTCTCCCCATCTCTGTCTGCCTCTTCTGTTGCCTAAGGTGGTACTTGGTAGAAAGATAGTGGAGCGCTTGTTCGCTCTTATGACGTGGTCATACCATTTCAACTTTTCCTTCTAGACAGTGATTAGAAAATCCTGTTTTTTTGTCCGATGCTGTCTCGCACGCGTTCTTTGCGATGCTGCCAACGTAGAAGACGCCTAAAATGGTTCTGCAGCATCGAATTTCTGGCGCTTCAATTCTTTTCTGTAATTCTGCTGTTAATGTCCAAGATACGTAGGCGCACAGAAAGAATAAGAGGAATAGTTCCCGCAACAGTCTGAGCTTCGATTTCTGGCAACTGCTGTTGTCTTTACAGATTTTTCATATCTTCTCAACAGCTGCTGTTACTCATACTGCTCTGAATCTATTTTTTGCTTTGGAGGAATAATACGTAATTAATAATTAATAATTAAAAATATATAATTTTGTTTTACATAATGTTTATTCAATACAAGGCTTAAGAGTCACTTATACTAGAGCTATTTTATGCAGTTGTCGTAGAGACATAAGAAAGGAAGATAACTGCAGATTATAAGAATATGTAAGATAGCTAACTGCTGATCCTAATCTTGAATAGTTTAAAATTGTAACGATTGAGAAAACATCCTTTTGTGATTCTGTTTCACAAAGTCGTGGTTCGTAAGTAAAAGCTGTATTAGTGGAAATTACTTTGTACCTTTAAAATAGGAAGAAAATGATGTTGATTTGACCTTGTACCCTTGGCATGCTGTATCTTAAATGTAAAGGTTTGAACTGGTGGAAATGAGGAATGAGTTTCGTCTAAATTGCTGTATGGGTTTGAATTTGTTGAACAATAAATTATAATTTTAATGGAATACATAAGTTTGGCATGAAGAGCAGGGTTCTTTAATATTTGTTTGTTTGAAAGTAATATTCGCAATTCATCGTCTAATATTTTGAAACTTTTTCATATCAGTGTATTTAAAATCGTCGGTTGAAAATATGATTCGCAACTCAAGTGCTGTTATTTTGGGCGCTTATTTTCGTTAGATTATTTTAGATAAGGCATTAGCATTATTATATGCTTTTCTCTTCGGACAAGCATGTTCATCTTGGATGTTATCGCTCACAATTCTTTGGCCGGCGTAACCTCCGGCTTTTTACAGGTGTCGGCCATTGTTCTCGGTAACCTTCTTTGAATTTCGAACCGAATTCTTTGTTGAAACCAGGGGGTAGATTTTTAGCATTCCTTGTTCATGCTTAGGGGAGATTTCACATCAGTTAATCTTCACTTGGCTTCAATGTTCAGCCATAGAAATTATTAAAATATTCTTCTTTCAGAAATGCAGATGTTCTGGATTTGTCACATATTTGACCTTATGTTCCCAAACGCTCTGTATGGAGGCACGGTGGAGTAATGGATAACGGCTCGGATTGCGGAAGCGAAGAGTCGAGTTTGAATTCCGGTCGAGTTCATTACATTCACTTACGTTCTAATACCCTTGGGAACGGTATGAATCGATCCCTCCTCTATTAATGAGTAAGTAGCAGGGCAGATTGGGTTCCGTTGCCTTGGTTGGCAGCCAGTCTAGGAGAAAGAAAACTCTGAATTCAAACCAGCCATGGAAATCCGGAGTACAATCCGGTATTATCTGATATTCCCTGTGGCCTGCTTTCTCTCCGCGCAATTGTGTGCCCTGGGATCGTAGGAGTAAGAAAGTGAATGTTGCTGTCGCACAGCAACCATGCAATCCTGCGCAAGGCAGCTAGCTGTGCTAGTTTAGATTATCATCGATTTTCGATGGGATCTTTTTTAAATTAAAATTTTGAAGATTTTATGAGCAGAATTAAATATATAGCTTGACTTTTTTTTATTACTTCAAAGGTCATTTTAATGGTTACCTGGGTTGACGTTCCGTTTATTTCGTCTACCGGTCCGCGTGCTCAAGAAGAAGTAATATAGAAAATGTGTCCTCTTTGCAAAAGGAAACACAGTCTGATTCGACGTGTTTAACCGTCGAGCTACGGAGAGCTTTGCAATAAAGCAATCTAATATCTGGTCATTAAAGCAAATTCACTCGTTCAGATTTTTTTAGAAACACATATCTGCTCAATTTCGTATCTGAAATGTAACCAAATAAATTTTTTAAAGAATTAATAGATTTTTTTAAATCCTACATATTCTTCTTGCTTCAAACGTTATTTTTACTGGATGCCCGTTTTTGAGTAGACGCTCTGTTTATGTTAAACAGTATATATCACGTCAAGCGTCCTCCGTACTCGAGAAAATTTAAAGTCCTGCCGGAGGGCACATTTTCTTTATTTACTTTTCCCAAGTACTCAAGATATATAATGTTTAAAATAAACGCAGCATCAACTCAAATATAGCTAAACATTCAAAGTAATAAGAATATTTTGTATCAAAAAATAAAACCCATTAAATCTTTAGAAATAATAGAAAATGTTTACCAAGAGAACTACCGTAATTTCCAGTGTATAATACGCATTTTTTTCTAAAAATTAATAACTAAATGTAGAGGTGCGTATTATGCCCAGCTACAAAAAAGAAAGAAAAAAAAAACTTTAAAAAATAGCCATTTTATTCAGTTGCGAAATGACTACTCGCCCCAAACATACGACAATTTGACACTAACATTCGGCGATTGCGACCCCATAAGGATGTAAAATACCATCATATGTACTTATCAATGCTTAAAAATGTAAAATAAAATAAGAATTATCATAAAACTAAATTAGAATAATATTATTCTATGTTTAAAACCATTTTTTGTGAAAAACTACATACAGATCCGGTAGATTGTACATTTTATCGAACAAAACAGGTTAATGAGTCTGCGCAGTAGGCACAACATAGTTATTTCCGTTTCCTTTTAGAATCGTGATAATCATAAATTTTGATAAATATCTTCAACTAGCAGCATGACTCGGCGTTGCCCGTGCTTGATTCAAAAATAGCACGACTAATACAGCAATCGCTATCACTTGACTTAAAATATTTTTGCCCTTCCTTGCCTTTAGAGGAGTTCCCTTTGCCGTGCTGATGTTGTTACATGCCTTTCTTCTTGCCTATATCACACTGCCAACTTTTTCTAAGCTCTATAGTAAACATTAAATCTGTTACCAAAAAAGAACTAAACAAAATAAACACAATACGATCAGCTTTAAAAAACCGGAAAAATCATTTTTTAAAGGTTCACCGATTGTCCATTTGCACTCTGTTTGGGGGAG